ACTGAGGCAGACGTCATTTCTCCTAAGCGTTCAAGAAGAAATCAGTAAGTTTCAACTACATGTATATGTGTAAATGTTCTAGTTCAAAATGAAGTTCCAGTTAAAAAGTTTTCACTGTAGTTTGATTCTCTGTTACATCTGCCAATTAGTTTATTCGTCAACCATCATGATGAAATAAATTTCTCTACTACATTAACTAAATACATATTTGCCACTCTGACTCCTCCATTGATGGCTAGCCTGCATGACAGATGCCAGTTATTTTTTTGGTGGTAGGTTTTATATACATGTAGTGCCCTATGGGGCAGGGTGCAAAGAAAGTCAGTTTTACAGCTTGCCATTCGGGCAAGCTGCAGCTAGCATGTACTAGCCCAAATGTCATCTCAATTAGCCCGAAAAAAATTGGATGAGCAGGATTGACTACAGTTCTTCTGTTATTCAAATTTCTAAAAAAATATCACTTGCCCATCGGGCAAGTTAAAAACAGAATTCACTAGCCTGATAGCAAAATCCACTAGCCCCGGGCTATCGGACACCACTTTCTTTGCACGCTGCCTATGGGGACACTCAAAATTTCTCCCTCTGCCCTAACAAAAATGTTGCCTCCTATGCAGGCTAATAACAGCTGGCTACTGATATTTAACTTGGAATTTTTCTTGACTGATGAACTTAGGGATCACATCTCGGCATCCCAGCCTGAGCCTCGCCGACTGGACAGTGGTATTGGCAGTGGTGACCTTGAGAGTGTGGAGGATGATGAAAGAACATTGAATGGCTTGTGTTTTTCGCAGCCTGTTCATCTAGATCACATGTTATTAAGTACACAGATGCAATGTACACCAGGTGCATCACAGGTAAAGGAAAATCAACATCAATTTTCTCCTAACTATATAAGCAAGTAATGATGAAAAATTGTTACGAGAATTAAAAAAATGATCACCACCGATAAACCAATGAAAAACTCTTTAAGAAATTTCATGTAAAAGACTCAGTGCCAAATTTTATGGTTATAAGGAGCCAATTTTTCAACTTTCTAAAATTCCTCTTTTTCTCTTTATTAATTTTTATGTAAATGTTAGTTTGGGCTATAGAAAATTATGATGATTATTATTACTCACTGACTACTTAATATTTGATGTCAGTAATTCCTCTTTTTCAGACTCCGTTCCAAAGACTGGTCAAGAGAATGACACGTTTTCACACAAAGAAGACTCCAGACAAGACACTAAAAAAGTTGAAGGAAGTTCTAGACAGTCTCAAATATAACTTTGCTGTTAATTCCCAAAGTCAGGTAGACACATTTTAACTTTAAAATGTCAGCTAACACCATCATTCCATGAAAAATTTTAAACCATGTCACTATGGTGTCAGCTGAAAACCAGCAATTGATGTCTACTAAAATCCCCCCTTGACCAATAAATTTTGAAAAAATTAATGTAATGTAAATATTATTCTTTTCAATTAGGTGACAATTTACACTGCTGACAGAAGGCAAAATAAACTAAGCATCAAAGTGAATCTAATAGACATGAGCTCTTCTTTGTTAGTTGACTTCAGATTATCCAAGGTAAGAAGATGTAATATATCAAACATGAGATGCAGTGTTTCATCACCAGATGAAACACCGAGAAGAGAGTTGAAAATACGACGCGCAGCGGAGTATTTTTGACGAACTTCGAGGTGTTTCATCTGGNTAGACACATTTTAACTTTAAAATGTCAGCTAACACCATCATTCCATGAAAAATTTTAAACCATGTCACTATGGTGTCAGCTGAAAACCAGCAATTGATGTCTACTAAAATCCCCCCTTGACCAATAAATTTTGAAAAAATTAATGTAATGTAAATATTATTCTTTTCAATTAGGTGACAATTTACACTGCTGACAGAAGGCAAAATAAACTAAGCATCAAAGTGAATCTAATAGACATGAGCTCTTCTTTGTTAGTTGACTTCAGATTATCCAAGGTAAGAAGATGTAATATATCAAACATGAGATGCAGTGTTTCATCACCAGATGAAACACCGAGAAGAGAGTTGAAAATACGACGCGCAGCGGAGTATTTTTGACGAACTTCGAGGTGTTTCATCTGGTGATGAAACACTGTGTCGAATGTTTGATATTTCTTCTCAAACAAAATCATTTTTGAAGGAGAAATTAAGGATGCAGATACTAAGCAGTGTTTCATCCGATTTCCAAACACTCATTAAACATTAATTTCCTTTGTATTTTCTTAATGAATTATTAATGAGTTTGAGAAGTGCAGTTCAAACCTTATTCATACTGAACGCTCACAAAATCGATTTACATCTACATGTACCCTTGTACAATGTACAACTGTAGCTCTCCCATCAACATGCATGCAATGAAACCTGGTTCTTGCTTAATTTAGTGTTACTTAATTTTTTTGTAAAGTAGACACAAGCCTTGGAAAATCCTCCACTCTTCCCGTACCACATGTACATTTAGTGAGGGAAATAAATTATTATCCAATCTTTGCAGAGGTTGAAAGTAACACTGATTTATTTTCATAGGGAGATGGTCTGGAATTTAAACGTCACTTTTTAAAGATTAAGGCACAGATGAAGGACATCATAGACAGAGCTTAATGAATCAACGCCAACTCTGGTACCATAGTATTATTGGCTTTGTTGAAGTTTATACAAAAAGGACCTTTTAAACAAAAGGCAAAAACAGCGACAACAAGAATAAATGCAGTTATTGTTCCTGTTATATAAAAAGACAATTCTGTTCAGTAACTTTTAAAGCTCCACATAAGATTGTTCAGGCATACATCTAAACATGAACCCTTGCACACTGTAAGCTGACTATTACTAATCGTGAGTTTACGCAACAGGACGGCAGAAAGAAGAGGACAGCAAAATGCTTGTGTGATACAAACGTGACAAGGCTATTTCTTGCATGTTTTGTCGTGATCTTCACTTAACATTAAAGTTTTCTGGCCTTTTACAAAAAGACCTGTTTAAGGGAAGGTGAATTTTGAGAGAAATTCTTTTGAAACAAGATGATTGTCACGCTGTCACACAAGGTTTGCTGTCTTCTTTCCTCTCCCATCCTGTTGCGTAAGTTCACTATTAACTATGAATACAGTGCGTACTGTAAATCATGGCTGTTTCTAAGATTTCAAGTTGCTGGGTATAATTATGCAATTGGTCGGGGAGAATTATACAGCTGGGATGTTTCTACGAATTCATTTTGTCTTTGTAGCCTGACATTATGTTCATAGTAGCCAGGGAAATCTCTGGCTCTTTGTCCTAAGCAACAGCCATGAAAAACCGTTTACAAGCATGTCTAGAACTTCCAATGAGCTGTGAAAAAGCACTAGCTAGAAGTTGCTTAATAGTGGTGTTTAATAGGTGATATAAACTTGGGTACACTAAGGGGAAAAAGCAAAAAAATTCTCATTAAATAAGACAAATGTAACAAAGTAAAAATACTGCTATAACAAGAAAGTAAGAAATACAGCTCTTTGAAAAATGTATTTATTATTTTTCAGTGGATTAAAAATGGCTATCATTAGTTTATTTCGCTGTTGTATTTTCATTGGTAAAAGTACACAAGCATGTAAAGTTTACCAACTGCAATTATAATATATTTGTTTTATTCTCTATTCTCTGCTTGCAGAGGTCCCTTTTCCCTGGTATTAGGTAGGAAAAGAGACTTTTGCTAGCAGGAAATAATTAATATCATTATTGCACTTATTTCACACCAATAGTTCAGCTTCAAGTTCGCTTTCACCGCTGAATAAAAGAAGTGAGGACACATTTTTTACAGGCTTAGCCCCCATCTGAAGTAAATATATTCATAAATTTCAGTGAGAAGAAGACCTGGTTATTAATCAACTTCTATTGGGTATTTTCAATTTCAAACACTTGCTGGAATTTGTGACTAATTGATGCTAACCCCGTATGAATGTGTTGTTAATGTTTGTATTCAGCGGTAATTTTTAATTTGAAACTGGATTATTACCTCTGTGTGGTTTCTTTCGGGTTGGAAATACACAAAACATGAACTTGCTAACTCAGCGACCTGAGTAATATTATTATATTCTTTTAAAACAGAGCTGTAATGTTAGCTCTGTAGTTTTATAAAACACAAACTGTTGCATCTGAATGTAAAAAAAAAACAACAACTATCTCTTGACCATTCATTTGGAACCTCAGTGACTGTGTGGTCTCACAGGACAGACTATCATTGTTAAAATGACATTTCGTGTCCTGAATTTTCTTATTTTGGGCTGTCAATTCAGCCTTTCTCTTGTATCAGCATGGAAATATCCAATGAGGAATATACCACTGAAATTCAATCTTGTAAAAAACAAATTCTGATTTTTAATGTGGTTCTACATCGTAGAAAAATCTTACTAGGTGATAACGGATGATAAACGCTACAGCACTTCCGAGGATCTGCAAACAAGAGAGACTGGTCTCAGTAAGAGAAAAACCACAATCATGTTATATGTTTTCACTTGCCACTGCAATGCATCAATCATAGCTTGTAGCAATAGGGAGCTTAAACAACAACGGCAATGATGACAACAAAAACGGCATAAAAGCAGATTAGCAAAACAACAACTTTGCACCTGAATCACACTTTTTTGCACATTTCTTTGTTGCCATAAAATAACCACGACATAAAACTGCCTTATTTTAAGTTTTGTTGAAACCACGAATGCAAGACAGTGATTTTCTAATATTCTCTTTTTAAAGTTAGGTATCATACAGTCCTTTAGAATTCAACTGCAGGAAAACTCATTAACATTAATTGACAACAATGACTTGAAATAAGAGCGATGAATTTTGAAACAGTTTGAATACACTTTTTATGAAACGTCTTGCCACTGTTGTTGTTGTTGCTCCCCAAGAACAGATAAAGAACAGAATTTCATGATATATGACCAAACCAAACTTCACATATATGTACATTAATTTTCTAAAAAAATGTGGATTAGGTTAAGAACTTTCGAACTATTAATTTTGTTGTATATCAGAAAACAGAAATTTTGTTAGAAATGATAATTTATTTTTGTATTCTGATTTTTGAAAAATCTCTACACACATCAGATTAAAAAAGGTCAACCTAATGTTGGCCAATGAAAATGAATTCACAAAATTCCAATGTTGTTTTACTTTTTAGGATTGTACAATCTACATCGTGGTACGTATTTTTTCAAGACAGTTCCTCCAGAGTAATCTTACCACTGTGGTGTCCTATAGTAGGTGTGAAATTTTTCATTCATTTACTATATATTAGTTACGAATAATTTGGAAGTGAAACGTAAAAAACCTACCTGTATTCCTAACATTATAGTAGTCAATGTTCTTTCATGTAATGGGCCAAGCATTTTTATGACAAAGTTTATTAGTGTAAAGTTGTTGACACGCATGGACTTTTTATCCTCTCCCACACCATCTTCAACTTGTACTAATCTTAGAAGGCTGAATACAGATAAGATGAGTTTTCCTAGAGGACGAATGTCAGATTTCTTGAACACTGAATGGCTCATGCCAAGTTTGCCAGTCTCTGGATTAAGCCTGTTGAGGCAAATGTATATCATTATTTGAGAGCAAGAGCTCTCATTTTTATAAAAGAATGAACTGACTTCAATAACCTTAAAAATGAATAGGCAATTTGCAAGTTGCCTCAAGCCTCTGTTTCAGAGCGAGGCTAGGTGAAAAATTATTTCTATAAAAACGACTTTTTGTTCTCAAGCTAATATAACTCATTTTCAGAAGAAAGGTATTAATTAATAGAAGACTTTTCATCAACTGCCTTGGCTCGCGCTCCCGCCTGGAGCTCGGGGGATTTTTCCAAGCTTATCTGGTGTTTGAATTCTCCTTCTCCTTTAATACAGATATACAGTCTTGGGTTTGTATGCTGGTGGACAGCCAAATTTCAAGAAAGTCCCCAATGCAATCCTTAAAGTCTGGTGTATTTCAATTTAAATTCCGACCCTGCTCGCCATTAGAGTTCCAGTAGCTCAGTGGTTAGAGGGTCCGAACTAGATCTCGGAGGGCCGTGAGTTCAATTCTTGCCTGGAGCTTGGGGGATTTTTCTGAGCTTTCTGGTGTTTGAATTCTCCTTCTTCTCTAATATATAACGGAAATACACAATGTACCAGGTTACTTTGCATTTAGTACTGTTAAGGCTAAACAGGTTAAGATTCCAGCCATAATATTTTCCTATTGCAAGCTTTTGCTAGTGTGATGGTGAACATTTTTCAATTATTTTTACACATAGTTTAAACATGTGTTGGGTCAACACTAAACTTACTTTGGCAGCCGATGTCTTGGGCATGGGATAAAACGAAACAGCTGTGGTAAAGAGTAAACAAAGTTGATGACTTGTGGAATAAAGAAGAGAAGCATTGTTTTACTGAAATGTCCCAAGATTCCAACTACCGCAAATGTCATGCCAGCAAAATAGCAGAAAGTGTCCCCAACAAACACCTGGGACGGGTACCTAAAAAGGAATTTTGATACATCAGTCTTGGGAACACAAAAAGACGCTAAGAGTTAAGTAGTCAACAAATGGGCACCAATAATTATTTCTTTTGTCTATACTCTAATAGCCCACAGAAATTAACGATGTCAAAATGTCAACAATCAAGTTGAACCACAAGACATCAGTATTGGTTTTGCTGCAAAGTTTTGACTATTTCTTTATTTTTGATGTCATTTTCATGGGCTGTTAGAGTATGGAGGTTAATTAGAGAGATTGAATCATCTGAAGGATCATGGTAATTAGGGTTCAGGAAATTGAGATCCTACTGTACAATAATAATATTGTATTATTATACCTAGGGAGGGGTACTCCCTATAAAAGCCTACAAATTTGTATATGGGAAGGCTCTAACCAAGAGGGTACCTTTTCCAGGCTACAGGTATATGAAGAGGTGAGAATTTCACTAGTTTAAGTATATATGAGGTTGGGAAATCTGTCACTTTGGTCTGTAAAAAGGGCGAACAGATACACCTTATGGGTGTGACAGAGTCGATAAAACATTCTGGTTTTGTGATTTATTGATATTTAAAAGAGAGTGCATTTACAGCAGTTGAAAGGGATGCAAAGTTCTAAAGTAGGTATTTAAGAAATGGGTACCTTTTCTGTCCAAAACGGTATATGAAGGGGGGGAGGGGTTGGACCTTGGGGCACCCCCCAGACATGATACATATACAGTACGTAGGACCAACTTACCAGTTAAAGTAAAGTAATGCTGAACATGTAGCAATAAATGGCATCATGAAGTAAGCAGAGAACAAGTGAGCCTGCCAGCAACATGTTCCTTGAAGCTCAATAAAGTTAAACACCAAGATAGAGATTGCGATAATAAGTGACTGCCCTGCCTCCACACCATTGATACCTGATAGGATGTTGATTGCATTTGTGCAGAACACTGCTAGCATCCCCATGTAGACGTAGTAAAATATTC